CCTTTTCCCTGTGTGTGGTATAATTTTTATAATGTTGTGACATAGTTCTGTCCTGTGTGTGGTATAGTTTGTTTAATGTTGTGACATATTTCTGTCCTGTGTGTGGTATAATTTGTATAATGATGTGACATATTTCTTTTCTGTGTGTAGTATACTTTGTTTAATACTGTGACATATTTCTGTCCAGTGTGTGGTAAAGTTTGTATAATGATGTGACATAGTTCTGTCCTGTGTGTGGTATACTTTGTTTAATACTGTGACATAGATCTTTCCTTTGTGTGGTATGGTTTGTTAAATACTGTGACATAGTTCTTTTCTGTGTGTAGTATACTTTGTTTAATACTCTGACATAGTTCTGTCCTGTGTGTGGTATGGTTTGTTTAATACTGTGACATAGTTCTGTCCTGTGTGTGGTATACTTTGTATAATGCTGTGACATAGATCTATCCCGTGTGTGGTATACTTTGTTTAATACTGTGACATAGTTCTGTCCTGAATGTAGTATACTTTGTATACAGCTGGGACATAGTTCTTTCCTGGGTGTAGTATACTTTGTATAATACTCTGACATAGTTCTGTCCTGTGTGTGGGATAGTTTGTTTAATACTGTGAAAAAGTTCTGTCCTGTGTGTGGGATAGTTTGTTTAATACTTTGACACAGTTTTGATCTGTCTGTGGTATAATTTGTATAATGCTGTGATATCGTTCTGTCCTGTCTGTATTATACTTTGTATAATGCTGTGACGTAGTTCTTTCCTGGGTGTAGTATACTTTGTTTAATACTCTGTGACATAGTTCTTTTCTGTATGTGGTATAATTTGTATAATGATGTGACTGTCTGTGGTATACTTCGTATAATACTGTGACATGGTTCTGTCCTGTCTGTATTATACTTTGTATAATGCTGCGACATAGTTCTGTCCTGTATGTAGTATACTTTGTATAACGCTGTGACATAGTTCTTTCCTGTGTGTGGTATACTATAATGCTGTGACATAGTTCTGTCCTGTGTGTGGTATAGTTTGTTTAATACTTTGACATAGTTTTGATCTGTCTGTGGTATAATTTGTATAATGATGTGACATAGTTCTTTTCTGTGTGTGGTATACTTTGTTTAATACTGTGACATAGTTCTGTCCTGTGTGTGGTATAGTTTGTTTAATACTGTGACATAGTTCTGTCCTGTATGTAGTATACTTTGTATAACGCTGTGACATAGTTCTTTCCTGTGTGTGGTATACTTTGTATAATGCTGTGATATAGTTCTGTCCTGTCTGTAGTATACTTTGTATAATGCTGTGACATAGTTCTTTCCTGGGTGTAGTATTCTTTGTTTAATACTGTGACATATTTCTGTCCTGTGTGTGGTATAGTTTGTATAAGGATGTGACATAGTTCTGTCCTGTGTGTGGTATACTTTGTTTAATACTGTGAGATAGTTCTGTCCTGTGTGTGGTATAGTTTGTTTAATACTGTGACATAGTTCTGTCCTGTATGTAGTATACTTTGTATAACGCTGTGACATAGTTCTTTCCTGTGTGTGGTATAGTTTGTTTAATACTATGACATAGTTCTGTCCTGTGTGTGGTATCCTTTGTTTAATACTGTGACATAGTTCTTTCCTGTGTGTGGTATACTTTGTTTAATACTGTGACATATTTCTGTCCTGTGTGTGGTAAAGTTTATATAATGATGTGACATAGTTCTGTCTTTTGTGTGGTATACTTTGTTTAATACTGTGACATAGATCTTTCCTGTGTGTGGTATCAATTGTTTAATACTTTGACATAGTTCTGACCTGTCTGTGGTATAATTTGTATAATGATGTGACATAGTTCTGACTTTTGTGTGGTATACTTTGTTTACCTGTGTGTGGTATACTTTGTTTAATACTGTGACATAGTTCTTTCCTGTGTGTGGTATAGTTTGTTTAATACTGTGACATAGTTCTGTCCTGTGTAGGGTATACTTTGTATAATAATGTGACAAAGTTCTTTCCTGTGTGTGGTATAGTTTTTATAATGCTGTGACATAGTTCTTTCCTGTCTGTGGGATACTTTGTATAATGCTGTGACATAGTTCTGTCCTGTGTGCGGTATACTTTGTATAATGCTGTGACATAGTTCTTTCCTGGGTGTAGTATACTTTGTTTAATACTGTGACCTATTTCTGTCCTGTGTGTGGTATAGTTTGTATAATGATGTGACATAGTTCTGTCCTGTGTGTGGTATACTTTGTTTACTACTGTGACATAGTTCTGTCCTGTGTAGGGTATACTTTGTATCTGTGACATATTTCTGTCCTGTGTGTGGTATAGTTTGTATAAGGATGTGACATAGTTCTGTCCTGTGTGTGGTATACTTTGTATAATGCTGTGTCATAGTTCTGTCCTGTGTGTGGTATACTTTGTATAATGCTGTGTCATAGTTCTGTCCTGTGTGTGGTATAATTTGTATAATGCTGTGACATAGTTCTGTCCTGTGTGCGGTATACTTTGTATAATGCTGTGACATAGTTCTGCCCTGTGTGTGGTATAATTTGTATAATGCTGTGACATAGTTCTGTCCTGGGTGTGGTATACTTTGTATAATGCTGTGACATAGTTCTTTCCTGGGTGTAGTATACTTTGTATAGTGATGTGACAAAGTTCTTTCCTGTGTGTGGTATAGTTTTTATAATGCTGTGAAATAGTTCTTTCCTGTCTGTGGTATACTTTGTATAATGCTGTGACATAGTTCTTTCCTGGGTGTAGTATACTTTGTATAGTGATGTGACAAAGTTCTTTCCTGTGTGTGGTATAGTTTTTATAATGCTGTGACATAGTTCTTTCCTGTCTGTGGGATACTTTGTATAATGCTGGGACATAGTTCTGTCCTGTGTGTGGTATACTTTGTTTAATACTGTGACATAGATCTTTCTCGTGGGTGGTATACTTTGTTTAATACTGTGACATAGTTCTGTCCTGTGTGTGGTATACTTTGTTTAATACTGTGACATAGATCTATCTCGTGGGTGGTATACTTTGTTTAATACTGTGACATAGTTATGTCCTGTGTGTGGTAAAATGTGTTTAATACTGTGACATAGTTCTGTCCTGTGTGTGGTATACTTTGTATAATGCTGTGACATAGTTCTGCCCTGTGTGTGGTATAATTTGTATAATGCTGTGACATAGTTCTGACCTGTCTGTGGTATAATTTGTATAATGATGTGACATAGTTCTGTCCTGTGTGTGGTATACTTTGTTTAATACTGTGACATAGTTATGTCCTGTGTGTGGTAAAATGTGTTTAATACTGTGACATAGTTCTGTCCTGTGTGTGGTATACTTTGTTTAATACTGTGACATAGTTCTGTCCTGTGTGTGGTATAGTTTGTATAATGATGTGACATAGTTCTTTCCTGGGTGTGGTATACTTTGTTTAATACTGTGACATAGATCTTTCCTGTGTGTGGTATAGTTTGTTTACTACTTTGACATAGTTCTGACCTGTCTGTGGTATACTTTGTATAATGCTGTGACATAGTTCTTTCCTGGGTGTAGTATACTTTGTTTAATACTGTGACATGTTTCTGTCCTGTGTGTGTATAATTTGTATAATGCTGTGACATAGTTCTGTCCTGTGTGTGGTATAATTTGTATAATGCTGTGACATAGTTCTATCCTGTGTGTGGTATACTTTGTTTAATACTTTGACATAGTTCTGTCCTGTGTGTGGTATAGTTTGTATAATGCTGTGACACAGTTCTGTCCTGTGTGTGGTATACTTTGTATAATGCTGTGACAGTTCGGACCTGTCTGTGGTATACTTTGTATAATGCTGTGACATATTTCTGTTCTGTGTGTGGTATAGTTTGTATAATGCTGTGACATAGTTCTGTCCTGGGTGTGGTATACTTTGTATAATGCTGTGACATAGTTCTGGCCTGTGTGTGGTATACTTTGTATAATGCTGTGAAATAGTTCTGGCCTGTGTGTGGTATACTTTGTATAATGCTGTGAAATAGTTCTGGCCTGTGTGTGGTATACTTTGTATAATGCTGTGACATATTTCTGTTCTGTGTGTGGTATAGTTTGTATAATGCTGTGACACAGTTCTGTCCTGTGTGTGGTATATTTTGTATAATGCTGTGACAGTTCGGACCTGTCTGTGGTATACTTTGTTTAATGCTGTGACATATTTCTGTTCTGTGTGTGGTATGTGACATAGTTCTGTCCTGTGTGTGGTATAGTTTGTATAATGCTGTGACCTAGTTCTGTCCTGTGTGTGGTATACTTTGTATAATTCTGTGACATAGTTCTGGCCTGTGTGTGGTATACTTTGTATAATGCTGTGAAATAGTTCTGGCCTGTGTGTGGTATACTTTGTATAATGCTGTGACATATTTCTGTTCTGTGTGTGGTATACTTTGTATAATGCTGTGACAGTTCGGCCCTGTCTGTGGTATACTTTGTATAATGCTGTGACATATTTCTGTTCTGTGTGTGGTATGTGACATAGTTCTGTCCTGTGTGTGGTATACTTTGTTTAATACTGTGACATAGTTCTGTCCTGTGTGTGGTATACTTTGTTTAATACTGTGACATAGATCTTTCCTTTGTGTGGTATGGTTTGTTTAATACTGTGACATAGTTCTTTTCTGTGTGTAGTATACTTTGTTTAATACTGTGACATATTTCTGTCCTGTGTGTGGTATACTTTGTATAATTCTGTGACATAGTTCTGGCCTGTGTGTGGTATACTTTGTATAATGCTGTTTGTGGTATAAACAGTACTTCCAGACTGAATTCCAATTAAACATAGAGGAATTACGACTGATTTTCTTATCTTCACACATCATTTTTGCAGATATCTAAATCCTTCACGCTTTCGTGATATTTGTGTATATACATTTAATATGCATTTCGAATTGAATTGGAAGGTACTTTCCTTCGATATCTTCTTTTTAATTTAAGTATTCTATGATATCGTAATCAATATGGTGTCATTCGTTTCCAGAGGTCCAGGCCATTGTCTGGAAAACGAAGATTTCGTGTATGATACCAATGAGTTTGACAGACATGTTAGCACCATGCTCGGCCAAAAGTACAACCCGAACGAGCAATGTGCCCTTAATCTTGGGTACCCTTCATACTACGCCTGGGTAAGTAGAGTCAAGAAAAGTAAGGTTCCATTGGTCTTGATACAAGTTACAATGTATAATTCCTGCAATATAAATGAGCAATAATCTATCACAACAGTATCGATAACCAAGGATAACTATTTTTTTATGTTTTACGTCCTATTAATAGCTATGGTCATTTATGGACGCGCCAAATTTGGTGGTGGAGGAAAGTCGGAGAAATACCACCGGCCTACGGCCAGTACCTGGCGACTGCCCCACGTATGTCTCAAACCCGCAACCCAGTGTTGGATGACTTGTGACTAATGGTATAGCAGAATGTCAGTCGCCTTAACCACTTGGCCACCGCGGCCCCTCCCGGCGCATAACATAACCATGATACGTATGCTGCCAACGAATAATAATGTATTAATCGCGGGTGCTCGTCATTATAGGACTCACACAACTAAATAATTTTCTATATGTTATTACCAAACATTTTAGCTAATAACTTTAATATTTGAAGTTCAAAACTAGTGACAACTGTCTAGATTCATAAATACATACATTGCAAAGGCTACAAAATGACTTTTTGGTAGGTTTAGTGGCAAATTGGAGTGTCACCGCGCCAAGAAATTGACAACCTGAAGTTTACAAGCAAAACCGGTGACCCCAAACAGAAACGCTCCCAGGCATTTTGCCCCTGTGCAAATCCGCACACAGACTTGGAAATATATCAAAAGTATATATTTTTCAAAAGTTAAATACCTGAACATTTCATTTATTTAAAAATCTGTCATTAGTTCCTTATTAAACCCCATCAGTGGCCCGGTAATTAGCCGGAACTTATTTCAGATAGGAACTACAAACGTATGAAACACTTGCTGATTGGCTGATTTAGTTGTGTGAATCCTATATTCTTGATCTGATCCCGTATTCATGAAGCCGTCCTCATGGTCAAACTCAGACAAGTCCGACTACTTTTCCGTCAATAAATTAATAAAACAACACATTTCGTCAATGGTTTAAAAGAATTTTTGAGAGCTTAAAAGTCGAACCGTTTTCAGTGTTTTCAGTGTTTTCATTCGATTTCTTTTCTCTCTCAACTGATTAAAGTGAGTTACAAGAAAACTAGTTTGAACACAAAAACCATGCTTTGACCCAAGTCCTCTGATATTGAGTACTTGTCTTAGCATGTGTGGTAAAAGTATTTTAAACGTGTATTGGTCCTTCAACTTCGACTCTTGTCATAATATGGTTGGGTACCACACTGCCATCTTGGTTTTCTGGTGAGTCACCGCCTAAATGCGTTCGCGGGTAGGCCGGAACGTTCGCGAGCGTTTGCTGCAAACAGTGTACTTTTTGAGCAAACGGTTAAAACGCTCGCGAACGTTCTCGCTACCGAACGCACTTTTTTTTTTCTTCTGGACGCCAACATTTATTAGCATCGTAAGTGGATTCTTAATTGGAATATTTCTGTTTTAGCGAAGATTTATGATGTAGTAAGATCCTTATATCATCGCATGCATATTAACAGTTCAATAATTGTTCTTTGATTAAATAAAGAAGGCAGATAGAGAATGATAAAAGCGAGTAAAACTCTACATTTGGATTACATTTAATATAACGTCTTCTTAGTATCTCCTTCGAACGAAGCATAGGAACACACTTCTCATTTCATTTCTTCTTAGTAATATTGTTAACTATCGTAAAATAATTTATTAGATTTTAATTGGATTTACACATTATTCATTCATTTTTCATTCACTATCAACTTGTTTCACATGGGTATTGTTAGTAGATATTTATTTATTTTTTCAAATATAGTGTCATAGATGGTTGTCGTGAACATTGCTCGATCTAAGCATGCAGAGTTAAAGCTTACGTTCTAATGAGCCGACATTGTTTTATACTTTACAAAAGTGATATATTAGTGTACATGAAATATCAAATGCCAAAGGTTCAATATGTAAGGCCATAGATTGACAAAGGTAGCTCTCGATACGACCCAGGCATCAAACGACCATTTTGGAATGTATTCAAGAAGAGTTATTATTGTCACTTAATTGCCTGTATTATTGTCCTGAATGTGTTTACACTTTATCGGAGATATACTGGGAGGTGCATGTTACCTTGTGGGCATGCTGAGATACAAGACGAGAGAACTTCGTGATTTCTGTAGCAATACGCTACAATATTTTTGATTCTATAATTGGCAACACTGTGTTACAGGGCGGAAGACTTGGAGAACCACACGATATATGTACCAGTATGGCGTGTAAGAACAGACTCAGCAGTGAAAGTTTCAACATATTTAACGCGTACAGGGGCACATCCTGTGGGGATAAAAGGGTAAGTCGTTATGTAATATACAAGTATTTATAATGTACATTATGATTGGGTCCTAGGCTTCCTTTACACCTCAGGGAGCTGTTGTCACATTGTACTTATGGGGAGTATTATCGAGATACATGTAATTCATATGGCGGACAAATATGATAGTATTTCAGATAGTTATGCAAGTATCAGGAAGAATATGCTTAAAACTGTTAATTTCTCAAAATTATTGTCTCAATCTAATTTCAAGCCTTTTACTTTATTTTGTTACATCATTGGTATTGCACATATATTTTTGTTCGTTTGAAATTTCTAGATGTAGTTTGATATGTTTGATTTTTCTTCATCATTTATTTCACCCACTAAGATTCTTCTTATTGTGTGTATAACACAAAACCGTTCTCATGCTCATACCAAGATTCTGTGATCAAGCCCAATTTCATGCGCCAGTGATATATCAATAAAACATCATATTGGCCATGATATGCAAGAAATTGGCAAGACTTTAAGTAGAATACTGCTTCCAGTGTTTACATTGGACTTTTTGACATTGTTACATTCTTTAAACAAGAGAAATAAGAAGGACGGCTTAAGTTCAAGGCCCGTATTCATGAAACCGTTCTCATTCTCAAGCATGAATTTTGTGCTCCAGTTTAATTTCTTGTTCCAGTTATAAATTCTTTATAAAATCTTATTTTGTTAAAGTTTTGGACAAAAATTAAAGAAAATTGAAGCTGAATACTGTTTTTAATATTTAAATTTGACTTTTTGATCATTGACATGATTTAGGTGCGTTACAAGAAGCTGGTTTGAGCGCAGAATCCATGCTTGAGCATGGGAACGGTCTCATGAATACAGGCCCAGATTTCATGCTTAAGCATGAAAACAGTTTCATGGATATGGGCCCTGGTTTAATACAAATGAATAGCAATTGAGATTAGTGATATTTCACTGTTGTAATTTGTTTTGATACGCACTGAGATACATTAAGTAGCATACTACCTCATGGACGTTGAAAGTAAACATTATTGGAACCATCATTATAACTGAGTCAGTGGTTTAACAAGTTCATACCACATTGTATACTGACCAAGTACACGTAAACATTATTGGAACCATCATTATAACTGAGTCAATGGTTTAACAAGTCCATACCACATTGCATACTGAACAAGTACACGTAAACACTATTGGAACCATCATTATAACTGAATCAGAGGTTTAACAAGTCCATACCACATTGCATACTGACCAAGTACACGTAAACACTATTGGAACCATCATTATAACTGAGTCAGTGGTTTAACAAGTCCATACCACATTGCATACTAACCAAGTACACGTAAACATTCAATGTATTCACTCAAGTTTCAAGCTACTTTTTTTTCAGTGGTGCATTGATGGAGTATGCACAGTATCCGAATTTGCTCCCGGAAGAAATGGTAAGGGATTTCATAAAAAATATTGTCAAAGGAAAAAGTATTTCTTGATAGTAAATGAAACTTGATAACCGTTTGTGAACATATCATAGGAAAATAATTTTCAGGTTTCTCATGTGGTAAAATAACTAGCTACACTCTTCTGGATTATATCCCTTTACATGATTTGCCTTGATGCTTACACAAGAATGAGCTAACATCATTGTATACCACAAAGGGAAATTACTCTTAATGACTTGATTGTATCATTGGATACCTTTTTCCTATTAGATGTGTGCGTACATGGTGACTCCCGAAGGAAATTTGGGCGAAATCGAAATATGTCCTGCAATGAATTCCTGTCTGCCCAGCCGTTCCGTTGTTATGACCCTTACTACAGCATGTTCTGTTGTAGCACGTGTGCTCGTCTCAGGAAAAACACTGTTGGTAAGTAACTTTATCATGATAGTAATTTGTATGCAATAATTAGTTAGTTAGGCTATGACTTTCAGAAGACTATTAAACGTGTTTTTTTGACTCCACAAAAAGAGCTTTGGCCCTTTGGTTTTAAGGGACATGTCTACTTGATATATGTATTTGTGACTCAGGGAAATTTTATTTGACTTTCGAAAGTGCCAACTGTATAGAGTCAAATGATAACCTGGTAGGTTGTTACATTCTAGAGAGATCCTTATTACTCTAAAGGTAATCGATATATATGTGTATTGAGGCAAACGCAAATAGTTTTTTGAAAATCTCGTGAAAACGCTAATATCTACTTGCGCTTAAAAATATAGTTGTACGTTTGCTATACTTTTCCATTTATCTCTTCTTGAATGTTAACTGTGTTACGTGAAAGTTCCCCTGTCAAAATTGATAACTTATAAATAAACATAAAGATTTTCATAGAGAGAGCGTCACAATATAATCGTCGACATAGGAGAGAAGGTTGGGGTCACCTGTCCGACCACGTGGGTTTTCTCCGGGTAATCCGCTTTCCTCCCACACTAAGACCCCCCACGCGCGATCATCCGGGCCAACAAGAGTGATTAATATAAGTTGAAATAATTTGTTTCATAATTGTTGTAAAATAAATAAAGTTTATATATAGGAGACAAAGTACCATTTCAGGATTTGGGATAGAAATAGACATGAAGGTTTATAGACATAAAATACCTTAGGTTTGGTTTTAAGTGTTTGATAATGTTTACAGAATAAACACAAACACACAGTTTCTATCAGAAAATCACTCCACGATATGGTAAATTTTAACATTTCAGTATTGATATGTTATAGGATGCGAGTACGGAGACAAGAATACTACCGAGTGTGCTTTATTGGAATCACGGAAGGATCTGTGTTATATTGAGGCGAATGCAGCTCTTTGTTGTAGCACTTGCGCAAGACATTATACTAATGTATCAGGTAAAATATTTATTTAAAATTAGTATTGCATTTTAGATCTGTGACGTTAGCTTAAAACCACAAAATACTAGGAGAGAAAATCATACTTCCTTTGTTAGTTCGGGAAGTACTAGTTGTAATATGCTGATACAAACACTGTTACATTTCATAACTTCATTACGTATATCCCGAATGTATATATATATATATATTTGCATATGGAAGGAATTTGATATAGACGTTAAGTCTAATGTGCAATCCAATTGATTATCAATAAAATCTGTAAACATTTTTATTTTTATTTGTATAAGGTAAATCTTTACGTTAATGTTAGCGAAGTATTATTCTTGATGATTGTCTTTTATGAAATCGTTTGTATAGATGAGGTATAAATATGGAGACTGTTATATATATTCAACCCCATTAAAACATCGGTATACTGCCATCGTCTGTCATAATGACTATTGGCGTTATAAAGGGTTTGTCGGTAAAAATGAGAGGAACCTTTAAAACAATTTTAAGAAGCGAGCAAAAATTGAGATATGCTGGTGTGCTGGCGATAGGCGAGATGGGAAATGAAACGGGGCATCATATCGAGGTTTTAATGTATATGATTTAACTTGAAAACTTAAAGTTAACATGATCAAATTATCGTTATTGGTGAGTGACTGTTAATATTACTTCACACAGGGTGCGAGTATGGAGATCGTTATAGATTATGCAACCCAAGCGATTGTGAAACGCCAGAGAATGCTAAATTTTGCTGTGAAACATGTGGGGATTTAGGAACACAACGAGACCGGTCTTTCGCTACACAAGCGCCACTAACACTGCTGTCTCTGACGACACTTCGACCGCCGACGCGTCGGCCTTTCTTCACCTCTCGCCCACCTGTGACCCTTCGGCCTCGAATTAATGTACCCCGTGACATTAACAGTCCCAAGCCTCCACAGTCTCCATCCGGACATGCTACTATCCCCGAAGGACAAATAGATTCACGTTTGTGGTGCGTGAAAGAGAACACAACCTTTTTCCAAGCTTCCTGTACATGGTTGGACACATGGCTGAGAGGGATATGTAAAAATAATCTATTTAGGTCAACTTGCTGTGAACCTTGTGCACCACTGAAACCACCTGTCAGAACCTCACCTCTTGCAAACGTTCCCAGAAACGAGTTCCTTCTCTCCAAGAATATTCCGCTATTGCAACAACAGAAGAAGAAACAAACTGTATTGAAAGAAACCAAACCAGGTATCAGTCAGGCTTCAAATATTTGGTTTTTATAATTATTCACATTTTTTATATATCATCGTTATGCCTGTTGTGATATAACATCAAACATTCAAAGATATCTTATAATAATTATATATTGTTTTGTAACGAACTTTGTCATTTAATGGTTTTGGAAATCCATTAAGTGATAGACCGACAAAATAAAAACATATTTGATGATGCCATACGCACTGAAGCGCACTCTTTACGTAAACCACTTAACGTTTTACTCAGAGTGCGCTTCAATGTTCTGCCTTTACACAGACTATTTTATGATATATGCAATCCCTAGATAAGAGGGCGAAAGACATTCTTATATGCAAATCGATATGTTTTGTCATAAAGTATGATAAGGTTGACTTAGTGCATATTGACCTTTACTGTGCGTAGAATTTTAAAGAAGACGACATATATCACTTTATGGTTTCCTTTAATTATTTTGCAATACATAGCGTTTAGTATTAGATCAATTTGAGTTCTAGGAAAGTTAAACATTTATTTTTATATCAGTATATCTGTTACGTTTCTGCTGCAGCATGCTTTGACAGCGGCAGACATTGCGCCGACATTGCCGCTTTGCAATGCTACGACTTATCCACCAGAAAAACATGTTGTGCTACATGTGAATCCCTCCGCACCGACATGGCTGGTAATTTGTATTATGCTTTTTCATATTTAATTGATATTTATGTTGATGTTAATTGCACCATTCATAAACAATGATGATTCTGCAAAATAATAAAGCTTTTATAGTAGATATATTTCAAAATAAATTTTAATACTAAATTAAATACATAGATTCTTTCCTATATTGAACCATACCCCTCTATTCAGATATGAATTATGCGCATCCCCCCAATAACAGTCGACAGAATAAAACATATCTGATCGTGTTTACAGATTGTCCATTTGGTGACAGAAATAGTCGATGTCAACCTACGTTTAAAATGGACCCTGATTACGCATGTACCCAGAAGCGCTCGCTCTGTTGCTATAGTTGCCGGGGAGTTACAGCTAGGATCGGGAAACCTGCTGTTCCTGCTTCTAGCCACAAGAGAAATGTCCCGACGTCCACGCCACGTCCTACAAAGGTCAGGAACACAAGACACAGAAGCAGTAAACGCGTAAAGAGCAGGAGAAGGAGTCAGACAGGCGGAAGGGGCCATAGAATTTATGGATCTGAAAGACATGCAGGAAGAGACGCCGCAGCCAAACGATTTCTAGAACAGAGAGAAAGGCAGAGGCGAATGAGGGGAAGAAATAGGTTTTTCTCGAATTTCCAAAATGGAAATCGTGGATAAATTTTGAAAAGATGCATTTTAACGTTTTGTCCATGAAGCTTATCTCTTAACAGCTCAAATGTGGATTCGATAACTAGTTGTAAAGTGAGAAACTTCCAAATTGAGTATACAATAGATATTTCGGAAATGTTTCCACAAAGAAGTTTTCTTTCAATTTCTCTTGTGCGTTGTTCGAGACATCAAAACCAGACTGTATGTACTTAGAACTAATAAACAATGGTGTTGCTGATTTGTGCCAGCTAAATATAAACAAAATGAAATCGCACATATCGATACATTCAGTTTGATATAATTAAAGGCATGTGAAGACAAGGAAAATCAGGTTTATGTTAGAAAGATATTCGAAGTCCTGTACAGCATAAATTATCAGGAAGTTCAAGCAATGTAACGTAAGGGCATTATAGTTTATTAACCTTCATCAAATATGACTACATCTGCCTTTTAATAATGTAAAATACTCATATTCTGATGGATATTTTTATCAAGCAATAAAACAATCCATAATTACAATATCAGATTTTTTCATGTAAATGAACTAATATAAAGGTCGTAAGTACAATACTTGAAAATTCATAAATAATCTAATAATTCAGAAACTATGAATAGATTAAAAGGAAACATACATAATCTAATACCTTCTTAGTGGTATGACTTTGCAAATCTGGACAATACCAAATACACATATGTTTGGCCTATATTCAGTGTACAGAATGTAAAGCGACTAATTTTGTGATGATTAATGGGGTCAAGGGTGATTTACACAGGTTATGAAGAGCAATAGTATATTTATCACTTGGTTTACATATGTAATTTTATGAATCGCTTACGAAAATATGTCAGATATTTGCCTCTGGTCAATTTTACCGAATGCTTTAATAAATCATGATAGTGTCTATCATTATACATTGGTCATACTGGTAGCAGTAATTGTTTCTCATACCATCTACTTGCATGATAGTACTGTTATGGTACACTAAGCAGGTATATCCCCCGTATAATACTGAAGGAATCATAAGAAAGAGCGCATTACATTATGATACGGAAGGAAAGGTTTCTTTCCTTTTTAAAAGTAAAATTACTGTATCAAAAAACTTACATGCACAAGAAACATAAAGTAAAGACGCACTTGTTTAAATTTAAGTTTTTCTATGAACAAAACTAACCAGTTTTAGGCATCGCACGGCTGATTTGCCCAAGAAACTATTACTAAGTTTGGTCATGATACGAAATGAGAAAATAACAAAACACCATGTGTGCCAGAATGTTCAGTTTTTCGGGAATAGAACGTGACCGATCTAGACCACCCGGTAAAACATATTATTCATGTGAGACACTGAAAGATAATAGCTAGAAATTCGGTCATGATGATTACCGTAAACTACAACGTTTATTGAAGTTTCCCAGATAAGGAAAAAAGTGAGAAAAGCTAATGAAAAAAAAGTTAATTGGTCATCTGAATGCAATCATCCTTGTCAATGATGACACTCAACACAGGATCTAGAGCGGAGAATGAAATGGAATTTGAAAAAGTCATAAGCAGGGGAGACCAGTATGGCAATCCTCAAAAAAAGATAATTTTACGATTATGAAATTAAAACGTGTTATGTTTATTACAATTTGTTAGAACTTGGTTAGAAGTAGAAACTGAAGATTACTTTGAATATATATGAAGCTAAAAAAAGATTTGTACAATTTATGCAGTATCTCTAGTATCTAGAGATCAAGTTCTGGGCCAACAATTAGATATACGTCGTCCTCAAACTTGCTGTTTTTTTCAAGGACAAAGCGTCATAGCGGATTGTGAAATAAAAACAAATTCTGGTAAACACCGGCTTATCCTTTTTATATTACTTTGATACAAATTAAGTAGTGGTGCATAATCATATTCCTTTCAAAACATTTTAACATTTGGTTGAAGAAAAGGTTCAACAGTATAATTTGTTTTCGCAAAACAACAAAAAAAAACAAAAAAACATAGAATATGATTATTGATAATTTATACATAAATAAAAAAAACACATAAATATCGTATTTAAAATTCTGCTTTCTGTGCAGAGTATGAGAACCATTGCTATTAAATCAATTTAATTGTGTCTGCGATGAGTTTTCACTTTAAACAATGCAAGAAGTACGGGGTAAGAAAGTGCTTGTATAAAATCAAGTTTATTGATGTAGAAAACCGAACAAAATAAACACTTTACTATACCATATGTCTAATATTTCCTTACACTTAATGATTATGTCATCAATAGCATTGTGTGTTATAGGACCATAACAACAATTGCTAAAACATTCATTTCTTAAATAACACACTCTACATGGCATTAACTGTCAAAAGGACGCTACGTAATAAACGTCTCAAGAAGATTCTAAAAGAGAATTGATCTTACGAAAATGGACTAAGATAAATTCCGTATATTTTGTGTGGTATTGCAAATTTCTATCCAACAAGAACCAACGTCATGTAAGAATAATGACTCGAGTCAAGTTTACTACTTTAGAGGGTCAGAGGAAATTATTATATTGGAAAATAGAAGTAATGACAAACCAATCACGAACCTTGCATTGCAGGCTAATCTTACGTAATGTAAAGTCATATAGAAAATGACGTCACGCAAGATGTAGTCTCGCGGTAATGTACATAAAGGAGTAAAATTCCAAAGATTCAGGTACAATATCCTTAACACAAAAATAAAATCATGAGTCAGGTATACTATAATGTCCTGATTCGACGGCGTATTTGGGGACACGGAAGCTTAAACTAAAAAGGACCATGAGTCTAATCCATCACTTTCCTTCAAATTGACTAGTGATGTGCTGAAAAGTTAACATGCAGAAAGCTTTGCTTTTGCTTCTAATTGAGCAATTGACGGATTTTAAAATAGATTACTTAATAAATAGACATATGAGAAAGATAGACAAAATGAACATTGAGTTATTTTGCTTTGTATAGCTGTAAAAATACAATTTTCAATGATATATTCGAAATGGAGCTTAAACTATTTGATATTGAAATATACCATAATTAAAACTTGAATTAGTTCTGTTAAAATGCATACGGCTTTGTTCAGCACGCTGGTAATGAATGAGAAGTAATTGGCATTTTCATATATAGGTTTGAAATGCTATTTATATATTTTAGTGGTTAATCTACAAATGTCGTTTTTTTATTTATTCAAATTGTTCAATTAATATGCTAAATATTAAGAAATATGCTTGGACCTATTTCTAGCATTATGCATATCACAACCTGCCACACAAGAAGATTTTTAATTTGAATAGCCACACTCAGAGATATCACGGAAACTTTATTTATCAAGTGGACATACATATGTGTAAACGTTTCATGTTATTGCATTTATTTCGGATTTTTTTCCCATCATGTGTAGTCATTTATTCCATTTTAAGTAGTTGGTGGCTGACATATTTTCCTGGTGCATTTTTGTTATCAAAACTGAGAAAGGGAAAGGAACAGATGCGGTGCTAAACACGAAACCTACTGATTGTGGTTTATATATTTATTCAATTGTTTTCGTGTCTTTGTTGTTTTCGTTTAGTTTTAACTTTCGCCTAATTTTTGCAATATTTGAAAATGTTTATAGAAGAGAAAAATCTTGGCGTAATTTGCTCCAAAAAGACCCCCAACCATTTACACGGAGAGAACCGACATACGTCGAGTGGCTAGATTCTTTAAATCATATGATACAGTAGACTCTGCTGAGTTCTTGTTAACTTTTATTAAAATTCATAAAATGAGTTGGTTTTGAATAAAGTTCAACATGAATTACTTTGCATCTCGTAAATTTGTCCGAATACCAATTCATTATCTCTTGAAATCGTCAAGCATTACTAAATCAATATCCTTCCATACAAATCGTCAATATCAAAGACCAGAATCCAGTCTCAAACTGGATAAAACAACAAGCGACGGACGCTGGAGAGATAGAAAATGTTTGTTTTTTTACGAAATAATTGACGTTAAAACAGATGTTCTGGAAAAACAATCCTTAACCGAATGTGGAATCGTTCTGGCGTATGGGAACGAATGTAGGTCAAGAACGATCTGAAACACCATGAAACCTGTATGTGAAAATCAGATATGATATCAGCAGTGAAATATCTGTAATGTAGAAGACGATGACTTCACGGTTAGAAACAATAGCTGGATAGTACTGTAGTTTATGTATCAAAAGGGCGAATCGATCAACTTATTTTCGAATACTTTGGGAATTGTTCTGTTATACCAAGTACATCGACCGTGAAATTAAAGTCGTCATTTTTGTCATGGAGTTTATTGTTATTATTGTCCTAATGTAGATAAATGTTATAGAGTTTGATAGTAAGATGACCAGTATTGTCCTAATGTAGATAAATGTCAAAGACTATCATAGTGAGGTGACCATTATTGTCCTACTGTGGGTAAATTTAATGGAGTTTGTTAATGACCATTTTTGTCCTACTGTGGGTAAATTTAATGGAGTTTGTTAATGACCATTTTTGTCCTACTGTAGGTAAATGTTATAGAGTTTGATAGTAAGATGACCATTATTGTCCTAATGTAGATAAATGTCAAAGACTTTCATAGTGAGGTGACCATTATTGTCCTACTGTATGTAAATATTGTAGAGTTGGTAAGTAGGTGGCCATTATTGTCCTATTGTAGGTAAATGTTATAGAGTTTGATAGTGAGATGACCATTATTGTCCTACTGTAGATAAATGTCAAAGATTTTGATAGTGAGGTGACCATTATTGTCCTACTGTAGGTAAATGATATAGATTTTGGTAGTTAGATGACTATTATTGTCCTACTGTAGATAAAAGTCAAATACTTTGATAGTGAGGTGGCCATTATTGTACTACTGTAGATAAATATCATAGAGTTTGATAGTGAGGTGATAATTATTGTCCTACTGTAGCTAAATGATACAGAGTTCGATAGTGAGGTGACCATTTTTGTCCTACTGTGGGTAAATTTAATGGAGTTTGTTAATGACCATTTTTGTCCTACTGTAGATAAATATCATAGAGTTTGTTAGTTATGTGACCATTATTGTCCTACTGTGGGTAAATGTTATAGAAGTTGATAGTGAGGTGCCCATTCTTGTCCTACTGTGGGTAAATTTAATGGAGTTTGTTAATGACCATTAATGTACTACTGTAGGTAAATGTTATCGAGGTTCCTGGTGAGGTGCCCATTAATGTTCTACTGTAGGTAAATGTTATAGAGTTTGGAAGTAAGGTGACCATTTTTGTCCTACTGTAGGTAAATGTTATAGAGTTTGGATGTGAGGTGACCATTTTTGTCCTACTGTAGGTAAATGTTATAAAGTTTGGTAGTGAGGTGGCCAATTTTGTCCTACTGTAGGTGAATGTTATATAGTTTGATAGTGAGGTACCTAGTATTGTCCTTCTGTAGGAAAATGTTATAGAGTTTGATAGTGAAGTGCCCTTCATTGTCCTACTGTGGGTAAATTTAATGGAGTTTTTTAATGACCATTATTGTACTACTGTAGGTAAATGTTATAGAGGTTGCTGGTGGGGTGCCCATTAATGTCCTACTGTAGGTAAATGTTATAGATTTTGGTAGTGAGATGACCGTAATTGTTTAACTGTTCGTATATCTTATAGGATACGGTAGTAATGTGACAATTACTGCAGATAAATTTCAAAGAGTTTGATAGTTAGGTGACCATTATTGTCCTTCTGTAAGTACAGGTTATATAGTTTGGTAGTGAGGTGACCATTATTGTCCTACTATAGGTAAATGATACAGAGTTTAATAATGAGGTGACCATTATTGTCCTACTGTAGGTAAATGTCAACGAGTTTGATAGTGAGGTGACCATTATTGTCCTTCTATAGGTTAATGATACAGAGTTTGATAGTGAGGTGACCATTATTGTCCTACTGTAGGTAAATGTCAAAGAGTTTGATGGTGAGGTGACCATTTTTGCCCTACTATAGGTAAATGATACAGAGTTTGATAGTGAGGTGACCATTATTGTCCTACTGTAGGTAAATGATTTAGAGTTTGATAGTGAGGTGAACATTATTGTCCTACTGTAGGTAAATGTTATAGAGGTTGCTAGTGAGGTGACCATTATTTTATAACTTTAGGTAAATGATATAAAGTTTGATAGGGAAGTGACCATTATTGTCCTTCTGTAAGTACAGGTTATATAGTTTGGTAGTGAGGTGACCATTATTGTCCTACTGTAGGTAAATGATACAGAGTTTGATAGTGAGGTGACCATTTTTGTCCTACTGTAGGTAAATGTCAACGAGTTTGATAGTGAGGTGACCATTATTGTCCTACTGTAGGTAAATGTCAAAGAGTTCGATAATGAGGTAACCATTTTTGTCCTACTGTAGGTAAATGTCAACGAGTTTGATAGTGAGGTGACCATTATTGTCCTACTGTAGGTAAATGTTATTGAATTTCTAAGTGAGGTGACCGTATCTGTTCAAATGTATGTACATTTTAAAGGATTCTGTAGCAATGTGACAATTTTTGTCCTACAATGTCCTGTTGGTAAATGTCAAAGATTGATAGTGAGGTAGCCTTTATTTTTTGACCCTTGACCATGTAAGATAACAATGCTCAACGATGTTATCTTACGTTAGCACAATCCATTTGAGCACAAAATATAGCACAGCCATTCAGGTTGGCTATATATTTATGCTAAGCAATTTCTTACATGACCAATCCTTGTTATTTTAAATTTTGGGAAAACCCTCAGGCTGACACTTGGACTTTGCCTACTTTATTTCAACTTCGGGAAGAGTTCTTTATCCACATATTACATATGAAGAAGTGTTATAATGTTTACAAAGGAGACAGACGTAACAGTTTCCTCAGACTGGATGAACGAGAGCCCTTGCTGTTTAATCTTTATGAAGTTTAACACCTTTTAAAACATCATCGTCAAGCTGTTTTATTTTGCTGTGTAAAATTTGATTTCTTTTCAGCTAGATATTGTTCTTTAATGTTTACCATATAATAAAAGTGAAAACCGAAACTATCTGCTGTAGCAAAAGATTCAATAATGTAACATTGCTATGGGAGCTTGTAGACACCTTCTCGTTTGCATTATTTCTGTTTCGGAGCATATTTTACATTGATTTCAATACTTTGAGTTTTGGTACCACATATCTAAAATGGGCAAAATGGCGATATGATGCAGTAAATATTCCCTTCGTTTGCCTTTTTTCGTCGATTTATTATGATACTGATGTTGTTTTTACAACAACAACAAAACCAAAAACGACAATAACACACACAATATCGTTCAATGTTTAGAATACCCAAATGCACAACATATTGTTATTTTAAAATATTCATTCACCTTCACCTTAAGACAGGAAAAGGTCGACAAGGTGGATATGTGACAGCAAAAAGAGTCGACGGGACATTGATTGGCATGTAACATTACTAATGGGATTTTTTGTAATTAAAAAGCGATTGTGTAATGTAATGTAATCTTTTATTTTATTCATTTATGTAAATATTATCATTCTGGGAAATAAAATGCATTGATGTTCATAATCCTATAAAAGTAGATTGTATAGTCAATGGTCTACGAAACAATTACTCATGCCCAGAACTATCCCGAAAGCTGCACTCTGATGAACATTTTAAAAACCATAATCAAAATTTGTAAGAGATGGTATATATAAAGCATATGTTTCATTGGAGAAATATGTGTTTAATGATATCTACCGACCGTCAGCCACTGAACTTGTGGAACGCTTATGGTCGTGCCTATATTAAGATATGTATGAGCCGCTCGTCACAGCTGACACTCGGCGCGAAGAAAGCTATAAAAGTATCAGCCGAAATCAAGCTGTTTCAGTTAGTTCGTCTTTGAGAAAGTGTTAAGACACACATTTATCAATACTGATTGTTGAAAATTTTGTTTGAATCTTTCTATGATGCATCTATATTGCATTTTCTGAGTTCAATTTTTTAAGATAGAAACTTTGTTTATGGCTTCTGTGTTGCAGTTTTATTGCATCTTATAGTTTCGAATCTGTACGGAAGACAATTCGTGTATGACCTGTAGGTAACGTTTAATGTTTGAAGCTGCATTCCAGACACGGATTTTACAGACAGTAACTTAAATTAAAGAGGTTTATCAGGTGATGCTGTTAGGTAATATATTAAATTTTAGTTTGACGATGGCTAGTGCTGTGTGGACGTGTGTTCGTATAATAGGTCTTATATGGATTAGTGTGCATGGATGTCTCTCCCAGAACGGTAAGCCATGTTTGATTTTGTTTATTGACTTTGCTTGTAATTTACAAGAGAGGACATCAATTTTGACCATCTTGCAATATAAACAGATTCCATTTAATGCCTTAACTTCACACAAAAATATAACTCAAATACCTTAAAATTAATTCTGGAATTATTACCTGCTTTCCCTTCAAGTAAAGCGCGGATCGATTTGAGAATATTTTTGTGGGGGTTTTTCGAGCTAAACTTCAGTGACATTGATACTGTTGAAAAGCATCAGCCGGACATGTTATTTCATGAAATAAATCTAGAACTTTCGAAATTTACAAAAACAATTTATATTGCATTTCCTTAATAGCATATAAACCGTCAGTTACCATATTAAAGGCAAATGTTATTAACTATTCTATTATATTACATTTGTGTACTTCTTTTATACAGATACAACAATTGAAGTGGCTGTAGTAGAAGATAATCTGCCAGCCAATGAACAAGAAAGTCCGTCCTTGCCGACCAATTTAAACATGACCATCAACCTGTTCCAAAACAATACTAATGAAGTTGATTTAAAGCTGAACATGAACGATGCCATGAATGAACAGCGAAGCATTTATGTGATCAGGACGAACAAGGCAGGAACACAATATTTGAAGAAAGAACAAATACCCATTGAAGGGGTAAGGATTAATTTATTGAATAATAGTGATACAATTCTTAATCACTTTAGTAAGCTGACAACTAACAAATTATAATTTTAGGTGTCAACACTCTTTGTGCACATTTATTGTATGATTTTGCATTAAAATACTTATCCTGTTTATCTTTTTTTTTTTTAAATCAAAACCATTTAAATTTACATGCAGTTTAACGTGATGCGCTTATGGTAAAGGTTACCTAGCATTATTGATTTCATATATTCTATGAATACAGACTAATAACAGTAAAAGCAGAACGTTTCGCGTGTGGACTTGTTCGCATTGTCACCCTTGAGACTGATCGCGTTGTGTTGACAATGGTCCTGACATCTAAACGGTCTATTTATCTATTATCTTTAGCATCTGTTAATATTACATGTAGCGTGAGGATATTTCACTCTAATTTACTCATTGTGAAAACACAAAAATAATTTCCACACCGCAAAATTTCCATTGTTTAAACTGCATTTTAATATATATTTTACTTGCTATACAGAACATCGCATTCTATCAGGATGCAGCGACTGGTGCTAACGTAATGGTTCGCTGTGATGGATATTCAACTGACAAGTGTGACCCAACCCTCGTAAGTTTCCTTTTCAGTACATTCTTTTCATAATTGTAATATGTGCAGTGTCATTTGTGCTTGAAACAATGTGTTCTAATAGATTCTAGCGCTTAGTGGGGATTGTTGGTAATTACCATGTTAATTTGTGTCTTTTGTGGTCATTACAATGTTAATTTGTAAAGCCATGTATCATAACCTGACAGGTGATTAGACATTCAAAAGATATATAAAACTGTTAAATTAAAGTCTTAGAGATGGATATTATATGATTTTATGTTCAAAGTGACATGTTAAAGTTAGCATCAATATTAAATGGTGCAAAACGTAACGACATAAATAAGGCAATTAGTTTTAATATATTTGCATATTCTACTTAAGTTTTAAGACAACTAACAGATCTTTAATTGAGGTAAATGTTAAGAAAATGGCCCCTGTTTTAATCTATAAGTGAATGTCTTAACGTAGCGACATTTTGCCACTGCTTCACCTGTAAATAGATTAGCATTCGTAATCAAGTGAAAAGCTTAACCTTAGACACCCACATAGGATTGCACCTTAAACATTTGGTAATGAATACAATATGCCACAGTTTATTACTCTGCACCATACATCTGTTTAGTCCTTCTAGGACTCATCGGTGGTGTTAGGGACAAAAACGTTGGAAATTCGTATTGGTCTAAAATACTGTTTAATTAATCATAATAAATTCAAAATTACAGAAGTACTTAATATATTAAATGCATTTTGCATGTCTCATTATCGATGCTTTTATTGACGCAATATGAGTGCAATAATGGTCTATCTGTCTGCACCCTTGACAGTAATGCCTAACAGTATTTAAATTTTTGATTACAATGAAAGTTTGATTAAGATGAGTTTAAGTCCTGACATGTATCTTTAGAAAAATGTCATGTTGATATCAATCTGGAAGGGTTTTTACACACCATGAGAAGTCAGGATACTAGGGAACATGGACAGATGCAGGTTGATGAAGATTATAGGCGTCCAGTCATCATTATGATTTCTTTTAAATATCGACGATTTTCGTACCGCTCATTCGTTTGCCTTGTGGTCTCGTAATCACTATCCCTTACCTCAATTGAGGAAGCGATATAAATAGGAATTGATCTAGTCTTTCAAGGTCGACAGCTGTAATCAATAGAGCAGAGGAAGCTTACATGTTCCCTAACAGAACATCACTATCTTTCTCCTTAAAATTCTTCAAGTGTCTTCGTGTAATATTTCCTCCATTCATATTTTGCCTTTCATCAATTTTGGTATGGATTCGTCGTTTTCTCACGGTATTGTCACCGGGTTTATAGATATGTTGTAGGCCGGGGTGATAGTTCAAGGAGGGTGATTGTTCAAGGTAGAATAGGCTTGGCCAAGTGAATGTGATTAGATAAGTATGATATGGAATGTCATAAGCTAATACATCACATCAATATTACTGCTTATGCCAGGAGGTTACGAGTATACGAAGCTGATAGGTATAGTTAACTGTAGGCTAAATCTTTTAGGGGATATCAAGTTAATTGTGTTAGATATTTTAATCTTACTTGTAAAACAGGGAAGGTCAGACTGATAGGAAATGCGTATGGATGTAGGTCAGGTTAATCGGTTCTGCTAATGAGGGGGAAATCGGGTTACTGGATTACGATATTACGGGGTAAGTCTTATGTCAAGTATGTGTCAGGCCAATATCAGTCTGTCAGAGCAATAATAGCGACCGGAATAAGGTTGACGGGAATCGGTAGGTTTGGTTAGGAGTAGTAAGTTTGATTGTAGTACATATTGTACATCTAATTAATATGAACGGATCAGGAGTAGGTCAGTCTGATTATGGTACGACAGTTTAATAATGGAGAAGATTTCTGTAGAAAGGACATAGGACACTGAAAGAAGTAAACTACCTACAAGTAGCGGAAACATAGTTAAGTAGTTCGGCAATTGATCAAACCAATCGAGTACATTGTGGAGGTATATGATGCAAAATATGAAATTGTAGTAAATGTTTGCTATGCTTCAATGCATTAGCATATCAAATGTGAATGAAATCGTATTATATTTAAATTTCGTCCAATCAGAAACAAAGCCCAAGGTCACTGTAGTTAACTTGTCTAACTGAAAAACGGAAATCGGAGTAGAATTTGAAGTGTTATATTACGCTATTATAACAAATATAAGCGAAATCGAACCATATCTGAATTTCCTCCAATTAGACATATAAGGAAAAACTACCATCTTGTCAAATTGAGTTGATGGAAGATTCCCGATAATACACCTACTTATAATAAAAGAAAAAAATCTGAATTTCGACAAATTGGATATCTTTGTGGTCACTTTTGATATTTGATCCATATGAAGAATTCACATTTACCCATGTCCATCAGTGCTTACGTAAATAATAGGATGGAGGCTAAGCGTACTCCCGTTTCAGAAACGTTTTCCGTCGCATCAGAAAAAACGAATGTCGCAGTGCACAGTCACAATAATACTCATGTGGAGTGTCAGTGTCATCAAAAGATTGGTTCGGAGAAAAAATGTCAGGAAACCATTTTGTCGGAAAAAATGATAATAAAACAAAGAAAATAATGAAAATACAAAGGGCAGCATCAGCAGACTTTAAAAAAACCATATTTTTTTTTATTAAAAATGGAAAAAAAATCGTCTCTTTTGCAACTATTTCTTTTAGGCTTTTGCTATCGGGATAATCGAAATTAAAATTAATTGGTTTTTAACAGGAAGGAAGTTTCTTCGTTGATAAAGTCGAATATGGCCTTGAACCTTTGGCGTTTGATTCACCGGAAAGGAAGAGGAGGAGTGCTTCAGGAGGAAAACGAAGTGGCAAATTGTATTCTGTCTTCAAACGAAAACAAGACAAACCAGTTAAGGATGACTTTCAAAAGGGTAATGAAATAATGTTATATTCAATATGCACGTCGCTGACGATATCATCAATTCAAGTTGAACATAAAGAATAACTTGTTTTATTGCTCGCGCTGCATGTGCAATATTTTGTGGTATTTTATTGAATAACATATTTTATTGCTCGCTATAAATTTGCAATATATTGTGGGATTTCCTCGATAAAAGCGATGATTTATTTGTCATGTAGTATTAACTATTATGATAAACACATGAACTCCTACTTTTGAGCATAATTAGATTGATAAGAGTAATGAATATTATATAAGATGCGGTAATTGCGATATAATAATAATTTATTGTAATACCTTAGTCGTAATAAAGTGTTCATAAAATGAATAAAACATATTAATAAACAATTAAAATGTCAATCAATAAATTTGCAACATCTACATACCCAATAATATAAATTAATTTATTCATCAACATGTTTATTAATGTAACTTCACTTTATGTTTTTAAGAGACTGCAGTCGGTCCAGAGGGACAGTCTATGCAGCTAGTTGATAGAATTGTGGATCTTAGTGAATTCCTGAATCCTGAAAGTGCGTCCATGTCAATGTGGAAAAGAGTTTCTAACATAAACACAAACAGACCACGCAAACAAAGGAAACATTCTAATATCCCGTATGAAATGGGACTTGTTGTTGTGATTGACTTCAGTGTTTATCAAAGGTAACTGTCATTTAATACATTGCTTCAGACAAACTTGTGACAGAATATTATTTGTTATTTGGCCGTAACACCAAATCAATGTAACTAAGGCAAAATATGAAAAACAGAACGATTAGTCAAGGTAAAATACACAAAGTATACCTGATATATTAACGAAGGTTATAGGTCTGAATGAAAGCATGCAATTTTGTATCGTAGAATAAGTGCCAGTGATATAAAGGAGAGTTGCTTTTCCGTATAAAGTTCTCTGGTTATGGCAAAGCGAGTGTGGAATATCTTACCAAAGTTAATTTCCTTGACAACCCAACTCATTAAAAATATTCAAAAAAATAAACTGTTTATGTTTCACTGTATAATTTTTATCGTCAATTACTTTGATATTTGATATTTATTCATATTGTTTACTAAATAATGTTGTAGTTTCATATCTTTCTTGTTAAGCGCTTTAGATATTTCTTTGAATTTGATTGGATATTGTTCATCTTCTGTATATTGTAATTATTATCCTAATAAATTCAGAATGTAATAAGAAGTAAGTTTATGATTTTTTCAGCTGGTACAGAAGAAGTTCACAAAAAACCCATGCCGAGAAGGATATCGATGCAAAGTCTAAAATAAGGCAATACATGTCCCATGTTGTAAATGGGGTACGTACAGTCTATTATACATTTATAGGGCTAAATCAATAAATGTGCCGGTAGGTTGTAGGTAAAATAGTATCCATCCGGATCTTCAAGGATTAAAATGGTATGGTTATCCATAGGTTTAAATTCTCGCATAGGGGTTGAAAAGTATATCAGATCATTTATATTGGTGTACTATTTTGAGGAAGTGCTGATCTGTTCTCAAACTGCAAATTACTTTATCGAAAATAAATTGTCACAAATTATACTTTTTATGTCCTCACTTCACCAAGTTTTGCTATTTTGATTATTTGAGTATGGGAGAAATGTGAGATTCGTCTCAGTGCAGTAAAATTATTTCAACCTTTAGTATTAATCAGATGATAGATTTGGGTGAACAATATGTATCATCGGGCTTCTTAGTTGAACATAACTTAGTATGTAATGAAAATAAAGTAAAATAACGACGTGAAGATTGAAGATGTATTCAAAACATAGTTTGTGGCATTTTGTTGCGTCCATACATTTGTGAAGAACATGTAATTAATACCGACTAAAATTACTTTCATGATAATAACTCCGATCGCACTGGCATATACGCTCATGAAAAACAATAATGTCTTTAAATAAGAAAGCAGATTTTTACTGATGAAAGCAATGTCTTACTTTTGCTATAATCTCTATTACAGATTGACCTTCGATTTAAAAATCTACGGACAAACCGAATGAGAGTTGTTGTATCAAGATTCGTTATAGCAGATGTAAGTATATGTTTACAGAATATTTTGGAAGCTTTGTTTCAGATTTTGGCGTACTTCTCATTGGAGACCTAAACGTGACCATAGATACTTTTTTTACTGACCATCGACGGCATGTATATTGCTAAAAGTCGACCAATAGTAAAATAATGTGATTACTTTTCCACAATAAGCAAACAGGAAGTCCCATAGACTTTCTTTATAAACAATTAAATGTTTCTGTTTTATTAATGTCATTTCCGTTACGTCAATACATAAGTTTTTCAGTTGCTAGACTTTTGAATGTGTCAGAAACAGGAGGTATTTCATGGGACACATACATATCAAGATTTATTGAGTTTATGTGTATCTACATGTTGTTATGCAATAGTTGTGAGCTCCCTTTGATTACCGTTTGGTTTAACATGGCGTTATATGTATTTACTTACGTAATATTTTGCATTTTTACCAGACGCCATCCTCGTCTCGTTGGACTTCTGACAGATTTAAGGCACAGCCTCGGGATCTTATCTATGCTGACGAGGTACTGAACAAGCTTATCAAGTGGCGTTTCAGGATGGGAACTGATCTTCCGGTGCATGATCATACTATTTTGTTTACTGGGTAAGTACTCCTTAATATTACACTTTCTTCCTCTCACTGTTACTGTCCGATTTGGCAAGCTTCATCTTACATATATACATGTATGAAATGGCTACATCCCGCGCTCTTTAGCAATGTTAATGATTTTCGTACAATTCAACACAATTCTCTGTCAAATGAAAGTTATTTTATAACAAAACTCGTGCTAGAACTGGAAAACAATCCTTTTCATTTCTTTGAGAGAAAAAAAATTCAAATAGAATAATCAGTCTCGGCAAAGCATTTCAAAAATGTATTATTTGTTTTATTGTCATAAGGATAGCTCTATTGCGCTAACGAGTCTTGGTTTTTTTTGCAAGTCATGTTTTTTGAAGTTGAAGATTGTAATTTGATTGCATGAAAAATAAATTTTAATTGGGGAATTGATCATAATTTTGATTTGTACTTTGTGGTACTATCTAACATAATCCTTTTAAGTTTAACCTATTCAGATGTTATTTTCCCATTCATAACTCTAGATAAAAACATTAGTCTCTACTGATAATATATTGATTAATGATCAAGGTTTTCACTTGCAATGAAGAATATATGTATATGATTTGTTTGACAGTTATGACCTGTATCGTCCGACGATCGCCAATAAAGGGGTCGCAGGTAAATATATACAATTATTCATGTTAATAAAATTAACAGACAATCTATATGTATATACGAATAAAAATGTATGTCTTATTTTCGGCATCAATGATAATCATAATCTATTTTTCCAACGTTTGTCAGAGTAGTTTATTGACAAGCAATGTAATCGTCTTTGACAATGAATTGTAATATGACAGGTGAGCTGTTCTGTCGGACATACCAATGTCAAGACTACCTGAATTTGCCTAAATTGGAAATAAAACTCTCGGCAGATGCAATCAAAGGCTGTTTAATGTTAATTTGAAAATGCAAATAACTCTTTTTATATTAACGGAGGTATGAATATTCATTTCAGTAATCAATTACATTATACATATCCTCTGTCATCAAAAAGAAACAGACACTGGTTATCTGTATAAATCGATTTCCGCATTCATATATTAGTCCGAGACGATGCCGTGACGTTGATAGATTGATACAAATCTCATCCTCGTTTTGTTCTATAAACTGCTGTAATAACCAAGATTGTATTATATGAATATTTATTTTGCTTATAACGATTACTACCTTAATCATGTAACAGGGAAATTTACGCTGCAGTTAATTTTCGACTTTTTCGCCTTCCGTAATGAGTGCAAATTAGTCATTAAAGCGATTATAAGTTAACAGCATAATAAACATAGTCATAAAATGTGAAGGGCGGAATTTGATTGCATGGGCGAAGGGGAAAGTTTGACTTGGTGAAAAGGTCTAGTATACAGTTTATATATGATCTCTACATCTGAATGTTTGTGAATGAAATTCGATTATCAGTCAAATGGAAAGGTACATTTGTGTCATGTACGTTCGTAATGGTTTAGTTGATCGAATTAATACTAGTTGAAATATTATTTTTGTGATGAATGGCTTAACTCCAGTATTCACCATATCAAAGAAAACGAATAAACATAAGCGCGACGCTGTTATAGACCCGGCACTGGAAAGAGCATTGACCTAGTGACAGATTTATCAAAAAGGTTAAACCTGTCAATTTTGATACTTTTTGGTCCGAAAAATAAAAATTAAGCTTTGATATGGAATAAAGAGAAATTCATATACCTGGAATTTCGACATTGTATAATCATTTAGCATAACTTTAGACTAGAATTGTTTGTGCCATGTCGAATTTACAATCGTGATATACGAAAGAAACACAGAGTTACTAACAAAGGCTACTTTAGCAATATGAATTACTAAAATTAAAACCCTTATAGCTAAAAATATACCTGAACATGTTGTTAGGCCGGCAATGTTCACTTAATGTTTTGATGTAATCTATCAATCATCATATATTTAATTCTTTGAATAATTAAATGACATCTCTTTAATAAAAACAAATGCAAAATTAAAACAGTCTTTATAAAACACTAATTGATGCATCCTCAATGACGTCTCAAAAAGGAAATATATAAATTTGATGAAAGTCGATCTGACAAGGATGCATATATCAAAACTATCTTTTCTAAATAGCATATTAAATATATATGTTATTTCTCATGTTTATCTTCAATATTGATAAAGACTATATAACGACTGTGTCTTAATTTTTGTTATAGTTTGGACGGGTTTAAGTAATGTGTATGTTTGTCCATAAATCAAATCCTTAAATAAAGTAGCAACATTGATTATAATATTAATAGGGTTTTCATGTATGAAATCGTTGTGTATGTTTGTCTATAAATTATTTGTTTTAGTAATAATATTTATATTGACTTTTATAGGGTTTGCACGCGTGAAATCGATGTGTAGTCATACAAGTGTGTCAATAGTTGAAGAACATGGTGGATTCAACAGTATTTTGACAGCTACCCATGAAATTGGACACAGGTAAATGTTACCTATACCACTAATACTCAAAACCGGTAATTTTTTGTCGAATTTTATCTTTCGCCTTTTTGTGGTCCTTCATAATAAAGGCGAAATAATCCTAGCAGGAAGTATCAAATTATTATTTTGAAAAAGATCAGGGATCAATTCTATGTATGGTATAAGAATACAATTTTGCGTTATATAAGAAACACGAAATAACATTTAACAGTGACTATGATAAGTAGGTTTATCAAATAACCACTGTAAGACACGTTGACTATGATAAGTAGGTTTATTAAATAATAATTGTAAGACACGTTGACTATGATAAGTAGGTTTATCAAATTGTCACTAACATCCGTTTGCTTGTTGGTTCAATAAACAGTCTGGGGGCCTACCATGATGGTCACAACAACACATGTATTGGTGAAGACAATTACATAATGACACCAATTGGAGGATCAGCCACGCCCTCAAATGCACTGAATCCTTTTCAGTTCTCGTCCTGCTCTGAGGACGCCTTTCAGTCATTCCTGGATAAGTTGTAAGTGCAGTTTTTTTCTTTCTTTTTTTAATTAATTGGTAAGGATCCCTGTCCAACAGCAACCAGATTATTAAAGAATTCCATTTTAATACTTTATATACAAATTAACCTCCCCTTAGTTTCGTTTTGGATAAAACTGTAGTCCGTTTGAGCCAGAATACTGCCATTGACCAGGTGACTCGGTTGTGTAGAGCGCCATTGTAATATTCGGGGGTATATTGTTCAACTCCTTGCTGGTCCCGTTACATGTTATATTAATAAAAATGACTGTTGTGGTTTGTTTTGATGTTGTAGATTTATATATACATATATATAAGTAATTACAGTTACAGTATAAGGATACTGAATGTGTCAATCATTTCTTTTGATTTTATAGACTTGTAATACTGATTGTTAGCAATGAATAAAATAAAACATACACTTTGTAACTAATACATCATAATTAACGCTCTTGTTTTCAAATCAGACCACAGCATAACTGTTTGACAGATGAAACGGATATCTATGACGATGAAGAATTTCAGGAGCATTTGAGTCAGCAGCCCGGGCAATTGTATGGTCCTAACGAACAATGTCAACAGCATTTAGGCAAAGATTCCTACTACGCATGGGTAACTATTCTGTTTTAGATTGAATCTCGTATCAATACAAAAAGGACCGTTTTTCCAATGGTTAATATGCAAGCTAAAGTAATGAAATCATGTCATTATTTTACGTTTGTAATGTAAATTGAGACAGTGAGTTGTAATGTTCATATCCAATATAAACTTAAATGGCAAAATGAAATGAGAAAAACAAAAAGCACTGAATAATACATATTACTAGGATGATATATTGCAATGTGGAAGTAAGAAATGGTAACAGATCGAGGTGCACCAATGAGGCTATGCTGAAGAGTTAATATCTGTTTCTTGTTCAGGGAGGTATTTTAGGAGACGCCTCGGAGGTATGCACTCATATGGCCTGCAAGAACTCTATGTCTGACACGAGTTTCAACGTTTATTATGCAGCACGTGGGACGTCCTGTGGAAACAAACACGTAGGTCACTTAATCATTTTTACCCACTATAGCCAGACAAATGATAGAGAAGGTACTGACCGCAGGTTGGTAGTTTTTCTCCTGGTATTCGGGCTTTCCTCCACCAACAAAACCTAGCATGCCTTTAAGTTCATGGGAATTAAAACTCAAACAAAAACCAGATATTGGTAACTTCTTTACGTTGCATGCTGCTACATAATTGCTAAACGTGTTTTTTCCAAATGTTTGAATTATCTTAACATGCGAATTTTGTATTGTAGTGGTGTATTGATGGCGTTTGTACGTATTCAGAAGAGGCTCAAGTACGAAAAGGTAAGGACATAATAACGAAACAAAAAATAAATAATAAGAGAGGAAAAACACATTAAAAGATTTTGTAATCAAGAGCACTAAATGCAATATTATTCTAGAATTAACTCTCAAGTTATTTATTGATACCCTTCCATCAATATACTCCTACGCATTTCATCAACCAAATAGTTTTCTTATCAGATACACTCTTATTAAATTGTTCATGTCAAGATAGGTCCTATGGGCTTATTTATATATGTACATATATCTAATAAGTTATGTAGCCTGCTTTATTAAATCATATACATTTGTACAAGCTGTCATACTTATGTACAACACATCTCGGTCATATGAATGTGAGTCTTTTCAACACGGTGCTAAACTTCAAAATGGTAGAATATTGAAGAAATTATTGTACGGATACTAAATAAATGTGCACAGCGACTAATACCACTATTACCTATATATCATACAATGATTGGAGTCCATTTCACAGACACTCTGTTGACAATGTAAGGACAGGTATGGCGACATAATTAAGTTTGTTGATTTATAAATGTCCCATTGATGTGTTACAATTAAATTAACACATATAAAAAGTTGAATGATAGGTCACGTGCTTATTCAAAGTTTGACGTTCTTGTTGTCCTGTTTAAACCGTTAATGTTATCAAGGTAGACATTAATTTGGCCATTATGCATTTAAAACTTTTAATGCACACAGTCAATGTCACCTGCAATTTAGATCAAAGAAAACATGTGTAAACATTGCATCATAAATAATATAATTGGTGAATGTTGGAATAAACAATAAGTATTTAGTATTCAAGATGTTGCCTGATATACACACCCATAAATCCAGCTACAAAGGAAAACAAACTTGTTTTATGCAGATAATCAGGAGAATATAACACATATTTATTAATGAAACAACTCCATAATTTACAATGTCAAAAATAGTTGTTTTTATTTCATCAACCAATAACACGTTAATGTCCTAGTGTTTAAATTGATAGTTTTTGTATTTCATTTCAACCTTTCAAAGTAGAATATTAAATGAATAATTCAACTGACGCCTGAAAAGGGTGTACTTTTATTCTCCTTATCACTTTAATTATTTATAAATGTTCAATATGAATTTTTATGAATTTTTAAAAAAAATGCTCTTAAAATTGCTACCTGATACTTATATTGATACGTCTTATACACCAAATTGTTATCTACATTTTTTATATCTTTTGAGATTTCCATATCAAATGCGATGGACATTTTCTTGACTGACTGCTTTTCCAAATTATTGTGTACCAATCACCATATTGTTTGTGTCGTTGATAAAATGCTATTAAAGGGAGGGAAGCAATTAGCAGATTGATATGATAATATGTGATGCTATTCCAGAGACCTGTGTACATGGAGATGCATGGCGAAAGTTTGGAAACAGGACATGTGCTCAGTATATCAAAGAAGACAAAAGTAAATGCTATTTATCTTACTACAATCGATTCTGCTGCGACACCTGTGATAAACTACGACGGAAAGAACGCGGTAAGAATAAACAAAATATGTATTTCTATTCCATTTTAATGCAGATTGTTATACATTTACAAGCAATGTTTTACTCCAATAAGATTGAACGATGTTTCCAAAATATGTCTGATACTTTCAGTGATAAATGAATACTTGTAGATACCTCAATGGTAATAAACTTTCATTATTAGTCCATTCACAAATATCAAATTATTTCAATTGTTTAATTACACACGAAAGGAATATCGAAGGGAAAATAATACCGTAGTTTGAATGCATAATTTATGAAACTTAATTTGTGAAATATGATCAAAGGAAACATTTACATGGAGACCCTTGAACAAATATAGAAAATAAGTGATGTTACTATCAAGAAAGGAAAAGTTAAAAAAAGTTAACTTTCGGATTATGTTTCCCATTTGGATTTAAAAAGGTACTGTTATTATTTGCAGATTGCGAGTTTGGAAATAGGAAGAAAATGTGTGACATCGTTGACCAGGAAGCAAGATTTTGCTATCATAACGACAACGAGAGAATGTGTTGTGAAAGTTGTAAGCGACATCACACTGGAGTCAAAGGTAATTCATTTAAAGTATGCTTAGCAATACCTACAGTTTACTCGAGTAAATTATTTCAATTCTATTTAGGGAGGGGGGTTGAAGTTTGTAAAGTTAACAATCGTCATTGTGAAAATTTGAAGCCTTGAAAGTAAATGAATAGTCAAACTGTCTAATATACTGCGCATGATGTCGTTACCTTTTTCATGGCGTTGTAATTGGTACTTTTTAAAGACAAGGTCAGACAAGTATCACGATGGTTTTATTTTGTTGTTTTATCCAGATTGTGAATACGGAGATCGACTTCCAGACTGCAATCCAATGCGGTGTCCTGACCAAAATTATGCTACCAAATGCTGCAAAACATGCGGTCAAATGAACCAAAAGACCACCACAATAGTCCCAGAATCCTCACAAAGCGTTGTATCATCCACAGACCACAGAAATAAGATAGACAGAAGTTCGACCAAATTAGAACAAAACAACATTCAAACAAATGTATTACCGGAACTAGCGCTCCCAATAAGGCATAACAGAAAAACGCAAGATAATAGCCTTGTCCCACGGGAAGAAATACGATTAGTTACTCAGCCTACACCACCATCTTTGTCCCAGAACAGTAGAAATACCAGGCCATTGAAGCAGATAAAAAGTGACGCTAGCACTAATAAATTAAATACAGCAATGGGACGTTCCATATATCAACGCAAACCCAAAAACCAAACGAAATTAAAGACAACATATAATTCACAATCAATGAATGCAACAGAACCAACGGCACAAATCATGGTTTCATCAGCTTCCACTGCGCGGGAACATTGGAAACAGCAACAGAAACTTAAAAAGGAGCAAGAACAATTACGGCGGCAAAGACAATCAGTTCATTCACGAAAAAGGCCTTCTAAAAGTTATAATGTTCCTAAATTTACTCATCACACCAACAACATAGGGAGGAGCTCGAAACACCCGAGTTACAGGACTACAACCTTGGTAACTCTTCTAAGCGGAACACATAGAATGAACTTTAAATCTGCTTCAAAAACATGCATCAAGCCGAATGCTACTTTCATGTCACTCAAATGCCGATGGTTGGTTAAGCTGATGAAAGGTCTGTGTACTAATGCTTTACTCGGCAGTATTTGTTGTGAACCATGTGAGCCATCAAAGAAAAAAGAATTCGGTACGTATTATGTATTTCATTTGCTTTTTAAACAATCTTTTAATGTTAAATAGATTGAGAACAAAAGGTATCTTCCAATTCTGTGACGACACGGCGCACCTCATGAATGACTATAGTTTTGTATTGCTAGTGACAAATATATGTTTGCGTTGTTGGTGCAGTTATAGTTTCGTATGATTTCGATGGTGATGTTGGTAAATTTAATATGAAACGAATATTATAGGTTTTAATGAGAAATATATTTGGCATAGAAGTATAAAATATGTATAAAGTCATGCAGAAAGATAGGCAAACACGAGCGTAATATGTATCATGACTGTGTAGTTTATCTTCATACGTGACCAACTGTTGACATGTGCATTCTTCACATTTCAGTTTGCACTGATCAGCAAGGATGTACCGCCAGTACTGCCTCTCACTGTTACAACGACATGACAAGATCCAAGTGCTGTGCAACGTGTAAACGATTTGAAACAGCTTACTCAGGTAAGGACATCCATTTTCACTAAAGACATCAGTACACTTGCAGCATACACCTCAATTCGGACTTCCAAAATGAAGTGTTGTTTTTTCATCTATCATACCTTCATGGCAATGTTGGAAGTCTTAGGGAGGCTGATATGTGTATTTTTGGAGACTCACTTGTTCTCATATGTTTTTTTTTTTTTTATTTGTTTGAAATATTAATCAATAAATGAAATTATCCAAATTAGGTCGTATGTGAAAATATCCATATATTAATGCATCAGCGTAAACCCAAATCGGTTTTGTATTTATGGCGAGAAATAGGAACTCCCGATTCCTCTTTTCGCTCATAAAGCACACCAAAAACAGTGATTTAAAAACTAAATAGATGTACCCGTTTTGAGTTATGAAATCATACAATACAATATATTAAACGCATGACTCTTTTTTCATGCACGGAAATGCACATGAAAACCAACTATAGTAAAAAGATGAAACGGTACACTGCTTTCATTCAATCAAGTCGAAGATAAGAGTACTTAATGCAGTGCACCAAATGCATAAATATGATGGAGTATCAATAGCCTAATTCAAAGTGGAATGAAACCGTATTGTGTTTCTTAAACTAAGCGAAGCTTTAGATATCCACATATGTAAGACCCACATCTTGAACTACTCATTTTATATCTCAGATCAATGGTTACATTGTTCTTTCATTACAGATTGCCGATATGGAGACCGTGAGCCACACTGTAGGCTGTTTCTTCGCTACATGCCAGCATACACATGTGGTGCTTTCAAACACAAATGTTGCTTGTCATGTAAAAAAAATATTGTACAGCTCACAACTACTCCACCCAAAGTTGTTCCTCGGAGATCCGACAACGATCGTCCTTCTTATAGGAGTCCAGGGATCCCACATTCATCATTCCGGGACAGGAACCTAAGATTCAGCCAATCGCGAAATCATAGGCGCTGGTAGTAACTGTTATTTAAAGCATGGATGTCATTATTTTCTCATTATTCATAGTGATTATCCTCTAACATGGATTTAGATTGTCGTTCACTAAAACTATACATGGACACAAAAGATATACTTAAGATATTTGGTCTTGAGTTGGTTAGATGGGTCATTTTTATTTCAACCTCAACATGATATGAAATCCACAAGATTTGCTAAAGAAAAGGAAACGCTAAACAAGATAGTAAAGGTGTACAAAAACGTCCCTACTCATCTACATCAGCAACATCTATCTAATTTATCGCCATTCTCGCCATATGTGGACTCACTTCGAACACATTGGAACAAGGTAGGCATCTTCAAGTTTTTTTCCAATTAGATTAATTAATCATTCAATTGAAAAATGGTACGTTTTGCTAAATTATCTCGCTTATGGTTTCATTTTAAAGTAACTTTACATTGATTTACATGCAAAGGGAGGTAATTAACTACTTTTTTTAGTTTTATTTCTCAATTTGTTCTTTTTCATATATGTATTTTTAAATTCTTTATGTTATATAATTAAGACCGATACATTATCGATTTGTTTTGTCTTTTCCAGGTACTTCTATGATCGGAGAAGAAATGGCGTGGCTCCTGGTGTCTCATTTCACATGAAATGATTGGATATGAACGCGATTTGGATATTGTCCATTCCAATATGGCTACACCACTTTGTACTTTTGTATAACTGACATTTATTTGGATTACCTATTACCTGAGAGGGATATGACCTGTAACTGAAATCCGAAATCATCTTATACCTGTTGCCTTCATCCACTCACATACTTTATTTTACTTTTCATTTCATCTATATAAATATATATAAACATATACACATTTATTTATTCTGTTCTCTGTGTATCAATAGTCAGATGTTTGTGTAACTTGTATTGTTTTTCACCAATAGTTGAATAATGCACCTTTATCCGTTTTAATAATGTATATTAAAATGTAAAGAAAAAGTTTGAATACATATTTATAGAATGAAATACAAAATAATTGTCAATGTAAATATTCGCTTCGCATATGCAATAGGGCTGCTAGATCGGATACAGCATTTCACGGACCTAGCCTATCGGCGTGTACAGTATGTATATTACACTGTTGTGAAATATAAAATCTGTTAATTAAAAAAATGTTTAAATTGTAATGATTATTGTTTTTTTGTCAATCATTATTTGAATATATCATGCAAGCTACCTTCATAAATCATATGAAGTGATGGTCAGATGTCGATTATATGAACCAATAAACTTGTCCGAGAAGAGAAAACCTCATTTCATTCATACTTTAGACAATTGTTTCCTACGAATTTTACTGTGCCAACACTTCTGGTGCCAAAGCTGTTTATAGAGGAATCAGATTTGGTGATGATTTCTTTTTTTAGATTTCCATTGTTCCTGTTTTGGTCTAGTTACGTTCTAATGTAATGATTGACGTATACTTTTGCCCAATTTCATTATAAAACGTTGTGATTATATAGATAAACTTATCATGTCATGCAAGCATATTTCCTTTCCTCAAATTGATATATAATTTGCGATTATATTTTACGTGTAACGCAAAAACTTGATTAGACGTTTTTCTATTGATACGATTAAAATGTATATCCAATATAAGAACTTCCCTAAAAGTTAACAAAAGAGTACCTCAAAACATTCCATCGGTAGACAGAAAGGATAATATTCTCCATTTTTATATATTCTACAAGAAACTAACGACTCTTAAAAAACTTTGCGGAATTCACATAATGAAAGGAATGCAATATTTGTGCTAGTCATCCTTTTCCTATGAAACTTGGGTTCGTTAATTGAGCGATTGTTCATATTGTACATCTCATCAAGATTCGGAATAAGATCATCAGTGTGGAATGAATTATAAAGGCTGAATTTGTTTTGAACGCACACATTAATTGAAAACTTCGGTTTCCTTTGTCAAGCAAAGATTGAAAATGGATAGTGTCTTGACTCTAAACCACTGAAAATAACTCATTAAGCCACAGTGTACCGAATCAGTAAAGCTGGATTGTCCTTTGGAACAACTCGAAAGTGCTTTAAAGATAGGAAACCTGGAAAGTTAGGAAAATCAGAGAATCCATTTGGGTTAAGAGGGAAGAGTATTCGATATACAGAGACAAGAGGCCATCAACTAAGTAATCTTTTTGAGCTATTTTTATAACATCCAATTCATGTTAGTGTTCAAAAAAAACTTAGCCTTATCTCGTCAACACTAATGTTCTGTTGAATAGAGAGGTTGAAGAGGTTCATTAGGAAGAAAGTTAAAAGCGCGATGGTCTATTTTCTGTTTTGCATAGGAATGTTTCGCAAAGGACGTCATAATTTGAGAAGAACCTTGCGGATAGATCAGTTAAAACTTTTTACGTTGATAAATAGAAACAAGATTTTTATTTCAAATTCTCTAACATATTGCGTCTGTTTTGTCATTTGAATCACACCAAGCATGTTTCATCAACTAGAAGGAACAAAATATAGGCATTAAACCGTTTACAATGTCATCTTCAGCAATTAACGTGATATCTGAGGAATAATGTCCATCTTCTTGTATCTAGATGCCTGGAATTTCAGCAAAATACATCTATCAAATTCACGTGAATATCATTTAAACGGTCAATGCCTATTGTCTTAGCAATAATGTACAATTCTTTCAAAACATTCCAAAAATGGTAATTATAGGAGTTGAAAAGCGTCCATTTGGTATATAAAACATGAATCCCAGGTGTACTTCATGGAGTTTGTAGTAAATTAAATGTAAAAAGAAAAAAAAAGAAAAAGAAGCCAAATTATCGAAAAATATTTTTAATTGTGAGTGAGTTTTTTTACTGTTAGTTTAGGGCCTTTTAAAGGCCCATTTGCCTGATTGATAATTCAGTAGTTTCCCAAAATCAATGCAAAAATTAAATTGATCAAAAGCATTTGAAAAAATCATGCTTTTTTCAGTATGATAATTTCCAAGAGTCAAAAGGCACAGGCCTCTGCCAGAAAGAGATGGGAAAATAATCACTGCATTTTTATCCAACATATTGCGGCATATTCCTGAAAACCAGTTTATTTAAATCAGGATAATTATGCCGCCGAAATTATCGGATTCGGTCAAATTATCATGGAAGCATAATATCTGAATGTTTTGCTATATTTAATCTAGGAAATGTATCCCAAAGAAATATTTATTCATAATTAATGTCGACGTGGCGAGACAAAGAGTAAATATAATGAAAGAGCGAGTTCATGCTCAGAACAAATCGACTCATCAAACATAATTATTTCAAGGTTTCCGGAGATATGTGTCTTCCTATGTGTGCAAATTGAAAGTCGACAATTAAACATAAACTGATTTGAAAGGTAATATTTCGTCATTGATTAATTCAAGTAGGAAGTTTCTCGTTATAGACAAATTAAATTAATTGTCGTAATTCATCATAATTACGCGGAAGTTTGCAAAACTTAAAATATTTAATTTACAAATTGAGTGGAAAAGTGTGTCGTAACACGTACATCCTTATTGCTAAGTGTTAGCTATTTAATAACGTTGCCTTAAAGCGGACATCTATGTAACCGTTGTTGTATTGCCTATGCAGACTACACGACTTTCGTAAGTCACACGAGTTGATAAATCAATAATACTTTTAATAAAAAAATGATAACAAAATTATAATTTATTTAAACAAACAACATTCTTAACGAAAACCAGACATATGTGGAAGTTTTCAAATGTATTTTGAAAGTTCGTGTTGTAATAATTGTGTAATATTAATGTGATTTCGGTTCAAAAACAAAAATGGAAGAAATGGTATATCACAAGGTCAAACAGAAATGCGACATGAATCCCGTCTGAATAAAACAAAAATAAAACAATATAAGATACAGTGCAATTTCAAAGGCAGTTGATGTCCTAAATCTCCTGATCAACATACACTAGTAATACATTGTGTATTATGAAGGAAGACAATTTCATGACTTGCGCCCTGTCCAGGAACTCATGTTTCATATTATCCAACAGTGGTGTTGGGGATATAATGGAGCAAACAGATGGATGGCTGTTGGGAGACTCTGGCTACCCATTGAGGCCTTGGTTACTAACAGCGGTTGGGGTGCCTGCTACAAGGAGTGAAGAAAAGTAGGTGAAACAAACATTTTTGATGTTTGTATAGTGTAAGATTGCCTTCAAATGTTTTATAGTGGAATAACAATAAATAAAACAAGGCATCACAGGTGATAGAAATCCCCTCACATTCACACATTGTATAAGGAAATGAATAAAAAATTCAATGATATAACACAGTAACTGCTCTAGTGACTGCATCTGTTAAAGGTATTGTCATGGCAAATAATTGTATCAAGTTTCATGAAATTCCGTTGAGGAATGAAGTCAATAGAGTGATGACAAAAATAGTAACGGTGACCTTGACTTTTCATGCAGTAACCCGAAATGCGAAATTGTTCAATGCTTAGCCATAATATTCCCATATAAACTTGTCCAATGTGTATCAATAGCTGTCAGTAAATACAGCCTCCATCTAGTGATGACAATAAGTGTAAAGGACAAATGAGTATATGGAAAGATATGACAAAATAACTCCTCCCCTATCATAGTACTATTGCACACCCAATAGTTTTATATAATTCAGTATGATTTTTTAATGTTGCGATAAAGAGTATTGGGGACTGACCAACACTATACATCTGGCAATTTTCAGAAAAAAAACCTGAAATAATAAATTCATATATATGTTAAACTTTACCAGGGAGGAATGACTGATTGCAATGGTATTTAAAATTTTGATAAAAGCTCAATAGGACCTTTCCAACTTTGAAGTGGATAATGGTTCAAGCAGTTCTAAGTATGAAAAAAATTTGATCAATTTTAGCCAATTTGACCACCTTTTGGCCTCGCCCCTTGGTATGAGCAACATATTAATCACAATTTTAAAAGTTCAAAATATGTTGATAACAAAAGTGAAGTTTCATGAAATTCTGTTAAAAACACTGTAGGAGTTGTTTGGACAAGAATGAGTCTGCAGACTGACACACTGATAAATGGGCAGAACAGTGTTATCCTCCCCTTTCCAACTTCGTTGCAGAGAAGTTTAATAAAAGTTAAACATTATGCTCTCAAAAGCAGCCACTTTTTGTGGTTTATGAACCACTTCGGACAAGTATACATTATTTGATAAAGATATTTTTCAAAGGCTAAAAAGACAGACCTTCCATTATTAAAATGTTCCATATTGATCACTTTTAGAATTTAAATAGAACATGGAATACTTTGTATAAAATTCTTATTTTACATGGTTGTAAAACATAAAAAACAAAAAAAGTAATTAATAACCCGATCCAAAACCTGTACATTTAAAACAATCTGAAGACCTTAACATCTGTGTGTATGTAAAAGCTATGCTAATCTTATATCTCAACAATGCATTCTGTCAGGTATAACAGATCCCACAAGAAAACAAGAAGTGTAGTGGAAAGAGCATTTGGAATGTTGAAGTCCAGATTTAGGTAAAGGCACTGTTTACATTATGGTATACAAAGCAATCAAACTTCTGGAATTTGAAAAATATTACTTTAGCACTTTTTGTTTGATTCAAATGTATTCATTTAATTTTAAGCTCACCTGCCCAAAGGTCATGTGAGCTTAAAGGCTGTGGTGCATGGACTGTTGTCTGTCTGTCCGTTGTTCGTCCATCCTGCATCAATATTTTACTTTAAACAACTTCTTCTCAATAACCAAAAGGCCTAGGGTGATGATATTTGGCCAGTAGCATGCTGGGATGAAGGGTTACCAAGTTGGTTCCAATGAATGACCTTCACCCCTTTTCAAGGTCACAGAGGTCAAATATGTTGAAATCTTTAAACAAATTATGAATAACCTAATGGTCCAGGGGGTAATGGTATTTGGCCAGAAGCATGCTGGTATGAAAGGCTTTAAAGTCTCTTCAACTTAATGTCCTAGTTGACTTTTAAGGTCAAATATGTCACATGTTTAAATCTTTTAATAGATTCTTTTGAATCAAACACTGGTTTTTAGCCTATAGTTGAATTTAGTCCACTTTTAAGATTACAAATGTAAGATTAATACCAGGTGAGCAATTCAGGCCCATTGGGCCTCTTGTTTTTCATTATATTTGAAATTCAATGATAAAGTTAAATAATGTATTGTTATATCAAACATTATTTTACAAAATGGTAGCTACATAAATTGTTCGATCAATAACACTTCAGCTTTTCAGTGACATATACCTAGCAATTGAAGATTTATAGTTAAGTATGCACTATAAATGAATAGAAATAATTTTCAAAGGCTTAATTATACAGTGGAATATCTATCGTAAAAACAAAAATGATAATATCCCATTTCAGGTGTCCGCATAAAACAACAGGGTGCATCCTGTTTTCTCCTGCCAAAATCTGCAAAGTGGTATATGTTTGTTTTCTGTTGCACAATATGTGTATTGAGAATGCAGTTGACCCCCCTGAGGAGTTTGAAGAACCAGAAAATGAACCAATGCCATACAATGGTCATCTTGCTGATGGACGCCAAGCAAGAGCCGATCTCATCAGTCACAGATTCTGATAAATAGTGTTATATCCATTTTAGAAACTTTTGGTATTATGTCACTAGTTCATGGTTATATCAAAATTGTATGTGATCAAATGTCAATTTAATTTGGTACATACACTGGAAGTCTCAGTGAATTAATTACCATGCGTTATATACAGACATTGTGATCCAGTGGTCATTACTTCAAAAATTATGATAAGATAATCCATATTAACAAGATATTATACTTGTTCAAGCATTGCATGTATATGGTTTATGCAATTCCTAGAAATTAAGATTTCATAAAAAAAATAGGCAAGAAAGCATTCATTACATAATAAAGGTATGAATCACATGTACCAATTTTCACAAAAAAATATTTGGGAAGTAGCAGTAATTAAGAAAAATCTTATACAAGGTTTTCATAAAAGAGACATAACTTTCCCAATCACACAACTGCCTGATGCACAAATCATATGTGCAAAGTTTCATAACAAATCCAATGAGAATGTAGAAGCAGTATCTAGTGGGATCTTCAACCTTATTTTGACATAGACATTATTTGTATTATAGGAGATACAGACATCTGTGGAGAACTTGAAGAGAAATCAAATGCATTCAAAGACAGCTTTTGTTTCCTTTTCTCTGAATGCAAATCTTCCAATATATCCATACAACGATGTTGTAGTGCTAGCTTCTGTTGTTCAACATTCAGTCTTTCCTTCTCTATGTCTCTCCTCTCTCTCTCTATTTGAAGTCTTTCCTTTTCTATCTGCATTAGTTCACTGCTGGAGTCTGCAAAAATATATCAATTCATTACTTACCTGATATGCTACTTCTTATCATGAAGGGTCAAGAAACACAAAGGCATTGTCGAGTTGGAATTGAAGTGATTTCAGAGAGGTATAAACTTTTTTTTTTAAATATTATATTCTATGAAACAAAACAGGGAAAAGGCTGTACAAAATGTACATGCATATTAAGTATATTATCCTAAACTAATCTTTAGGCAATATTGCATGCAAACCATCGGTTCAAGGTCAAAGGTCAAAGAGTAGTTGTGG